TTTACAGGAGCAGAAAGCCTCATCTTTCTCCCATGGAACAGCTGGTAGTTTTGAACTGCCGATTTTGAGGTTAGCAGCTTGACTCTACGCTACCAGAGCTATTTGGGGGAATTAGTTGCTTGCTAGACCTGGGGGCTCAGGACCATGGTCTCACGGTATATATACCAAGGTCAACGGGCACAACATAATTCACAAAGAAAATGTTCCGCATCCTACTTTGGTGAGTAGCTACTGGGATCTTAAAACCTTCAACCAACCTATTGGTCTTTCCCATCTGGAGCAGAGAAGAGTGAAATTAATCAAAGACCCATGGAAACAATTATTCCGAAGGACTAATAGAACACATGAATCATATTGATCACATGACTGACCCTGAGTAGAAAACTTAGACGGTGCCCAGCTACCACTACTGACTGCTCTGAAAGGGATCACATTAGAAGGTCCTGGATAGAGTGAGAGGAAATGTGGAACAAAACTCAAAATCACAAAAAAGACCAGGTTTACTTGTCAGATAGAGACTAGTGGAACTTCCAAGACGCTGGTCCAAGACGCTGGTCCTTAGCTGCCCTTGAAACCTGTCACTGAACTATTCCCTCCTCTCCCTACTCCCTACATTCCATCTCCTTAATTTAGTTTTCAGCCAAACAATAGATGGGTGTGGCGCTGTAGGACTAGCACTGGACCTCAAGGTGTTTTGAACTGTAAGGTCAGCAGTTCAAAATCAACAGCCACTCCTTGGAAACCCTATTCAGGGTTAGTGTAGTGGTTACGAATAGGGCTGTGAACCGCAAGGTCAGCAGTTCGAAACTACCAGCTGTTCCACGGGCGAAAGATAAGGCTTTCTGTTCCCGTAACGATTTACAGCCTCAGAAACCCTGTACAGGGTCTCTATGAGTCGGAACTGACTCCATGGCACATAACAACAACGAGTCAGGCCGACTCTACAGGCATTTAACTACAACAACAACATAAGATGAACAATGACACTAGGCCATATGTATTCCTTCAAACAGTCATCTGAGATCAAAAGGGCAGTATATGCATAGGGCCAGGTTCAGAGGGCAGGAAGGGTGAGGAAAGAATGAGGAAAGGAGGAAGTGGGAAAAGTGCTGATATATTGTGGGGATTACAGTTAATAGCTTGAGACGAAATAAGAAGGAATTGTTGAATGGGAAACTGATTTGCTTTATAAAATCTCACCCAAATCACAATAAAAAGTTAAACCAAACAAAAAACAAGGTGTAATTAATTAACCTCCCTGTTAATGGAAATTTAGGTTTTACCAGTCCAAACCAGTAGAGGTCGCAAAAGTACTTGTTATAGAGTCAATGTATGTATGTATGTATGTATGTAACAAAAAGCATGCTTGGGCATTATGAATTACAGAGAATGAGCAGAGTTATGGTTGCACGGGGCTGCTAGATTTTAATGTCTGTCTATTACAGGCAATGCATTAATAAGCTTTTTGTACGTTTCCAACCTAAAAGGAAATTTGCGAGGTGATTCTAGGCCAAACCCCTCATTTTATAATAAGGAAACTGATCGTAACGTTAATTAGAAACTTGCCCAGGTGACTCAGCTTGGTAACTAGCAGATGGAGGATGACTACTCAGAATCTTTTAATTCCAAGTCCAGACTTCTCTCACTGTATCTGTAGACTGTTTTTCCAACTGGAATGGATCTTTTCTGAAATTCATTAATTACATCAACATATAGCTCTGGTAGCGTAGTGGTTACAAATCGGGCTGCGAACCACAAGGTCAGCAGTTCGAAACTACCAGCTGCTCCGTGGGCGAAAGATGAGGCTTTCTGCTCCCGTAAAGATTTACAGCCTCAGAAACCCTGCACAGGGTTGCTATGGGTTGGAAACTCTATGGAACTTAACAACAACAACACAGTTTTATGGTAGACACTGTTGGGGGCAGATATCAATACATGGTCCTTGTTTGTGGGACTGAAAAACTGTGAGCAGAAGCAGTAAGATAATGATAAGAACCTCAGATGATAGTGATAATTTTAGATACATCTCCCAGGTAGGTCTTTTCTATATATGCACTGCTAGTCTTGGCTTTGGCTTAGTTGGTTTTTTTTTTTTTT